CCAACATCTGGTGAAAATTTCATGTCATTAGCACCTCTAGTAATATATTTACTGAGAAAAATGTTGACGTGTTCAATACTTATTTTACCCGTTGTGTGACATCATGCATGTAAATATGGTTTGTTTCATCATCACTCTACTCAAACACACCATCAAAAACAGATATTTTTTCCATCAACAAAAGATTTTATTTGTAAGGACCATTCCAAAGTCACTTCTTATATAAACACCAAAACATCTTAAACAGCCACAACCTGAATGTGAGTTCTGGTGTGTGTCTGCTTTGTGTAAGCGCTGGGGTCATATATGCTACTGCTAATGTGGTATCTACTGTAGTATCAGAAACAGACTGTTGCTGAAGGAGAATTGTAGTTTATCTTCTGAATAAATGATATAATCAAGTTTTTTGTATTGTACACAAAACACACCAAAAATCAAAAAGTGAGGCACTCACCCCATTTTAAGCGGATGAATTCCTCAGTCATATTGATTTTGCCTTTAAGACAAATGATTAGACAAAGTGTTTTAACCACATACACTAAAACACACCAACAAAAGAGTTAGCACATTGAAATAATGAATAATAAACAAAGAAATAATAAAGCAGATTTACCTTCTGGAAAAATGTGCACCCATTCACCTTTGTTCAGTTTTTCCAAAATAAAATCCATGCCCCTCTGATAAACACCATCACCTTAAGAAAACACCATGTGAGTGCTTTATTCATCAGATAGAAATGAGAAGAGCTCTCAGACTTTTACCTCTGCAGACAGGAACACACTTCCCACGGCTGAAGAAGCTGGAGTCCAGCTCTCTTGTGAAACATATGTCGGATGCTGCTGGTGTCCTGTCCAGTTGCAGATAAAAAAATACATTAAGTTGTCTAACATAAAAACCTGATTCAAGCTAAAGCTTGTACCTCACTATGCATATCATTTGTGAGGAAGTTTACAAAATATTTGCAAATGATTGACAATCCAACAAACATTTCCAGATGTTTTGGAAACTTCCTCTCAGAGTCACAGAGTTGTCTCAAATCCTGAATTTACAGCTCGTCACGGAGCACTGATTCCACCTGGAAAATAAAAACTGCAAAAACAAAACCCTGAAGGAATTGTTCACAGCTTCCCTTCAGCTTCACAGGAGGACACCTGTTTTTGTTTAATGGGTGTACCACCTGAGTCAGCAAATCCACCTGCAWCTTACCTCAGAGCAGGTCATGCTAGTTGAACACCGCAATCCCTTCCATGCCTCACTGGATAAGCTGGTTGTTTTATTGTGACGAACTGAGCAACAGCAGGTTTGTGATCCACTGCATGTATTTCAACTTTTGACTTTGAAGAAAGTAATAAAAACTGCCTTAAAAAGTATCACATAAAACCATGCTGGTAATCCTAACTGACAGGAAATGTTTATTCTGATTTCATGACAGACAGTAGCTGCGTTTCCATTGACCATGAAAATGTGCAAATTAGAATTTCAAAAATAATTTTGCTCAATGGAAACACGTCAGTTTTGAAAAAAAAAATTACGTTTTTCGACAAAAAGTTTTTGCGCTAGGATGAGGTGGTTTTTCAGCCGTATCAAAATTGGTG